TATAATTTTTTAATAAAAACTTTGTTTTTCTAACAACTATATTAATTTATTGAATGATATAATATAATAATATAGTATAATATAATATAATATACGTATTTGTAATTAAATATTAATAATGTGGTAATTATATCTATAAAGATACCAATTAACGTTAAAAAATATTTGTGAATGAGGTTGTGAGTAATATTGTAGTCTGGGGATTTTTTTTCCGATTACCCAATTTAATAGTATAATCACGGTATGTAACGTATCATAATAATGTCTATAAACACAAACATTATATACATATACGCACTTAAGTTCGCATTAATGTATTTAGTATTTGATGAGTTAAAACAAATTAGGTATATAGTTTGTAATGATAATAATTGTTTTAGTTGGCGTATATATATCAATATCATGTACTCTATTTGTTATATCTTGATATAGGCATATCGCATATAGCCAACAGTTATATTATAATTTTCAACCACAGACTAACTAGGTAAGTAACTCCGGGCATTAGTCGAAGCCTTGGCTGACAAATAGTAGGTATGCTATACCTATCATATACGTAGGTATTTATGTTGTATTGTATTTTATTATTTCTAGACTTGCTGTTAGTAACAAAAAAAAATTATTTTGTATACCTATATCATTTTGTCATTATTTTATTTTACCTTTAAAAAAATATATTTATAATTCCATTTATTCCTTACGACCCATTTTACAATCATAGTTTAAACCTCGGTTATGCTTCAACCACTGATTTTACCGGCCGAATTCCGTGGTTTAACCGGAGTTCAACTATTGTAATACGGCCCATTATACATTTAGTGTATGTCAACCAATATTTTGCCAATCAACAAAATAGACCTTATACTAAGTAAGTAAGTAGTAAGCAAAATTAGCACAGAACAGATGAAACTTCTATTCTGTGGTATAAGATAAAGGTATGCATATTATATATCTATGGGATGGGTCTAGGAACAAATTAACGGCGACACGGCGGTCGTCCCCGTGCGAGATTCACTGATCGCAATGTAAATAATGTGATTACCTTATCTATAAAATAGTTCTTTGGAAAATCTGTGTATTCAGTAGCATAGATGATAACACTATTATATATAAACAAACTATAAAAGTGATAATATATAAGTATAAAACAATCTTGAATCCTTAAATCAGTTAGTTCATATTATTATGTTCTAAGGTTGATTCATATAGCATTAATTTTTTATAAAGAGTATTGACTTACAAGATGTCATCCATTTTTTATTGCTCAGCACTTTAAATATATTATTGATTTTAGAATTTATGGCAATATGATATTAAATAATCTGCAGCAGTATAAAATATTATAAATCACTTATTTTAATAATAAATTATATGTTCATTGTAGAACCATAAATATAAATACATTTATTACTTACCTGTGCTTGATTGTGTTTACTTAAAGTTAAATCAACATGTCTGGTAACGATGAATATGTTGATGTTATGACATCCAGGTTAGTATTTATTTTCATTATTACATTAAATTATTTTTAATTAAAGTTATAAATCAACAGTTGGAAAAAAAATATCTATGTAAATTATATATACATCATTGAAATTTACTGTTTTAGTCCACCTCTTACAACTAAGACAACCTTACAAAGTTCAGGAATGAAGAAAAAAAAAGTAAGAAATAATAAAGACAATCCTGGATCAAGTGATGAAGAACGATGGTTAAAAGCAATAGAAACGGGTAAATTGGACGAAGTTGACGATGAATTAAAGAAAATTACAAAAAAGGATCCAAAAATGATGACTGCTAGACAAAGAGCAATGTTTGACAGAAAATCTGATAAGGAATTCACTGAAGAACTGGTTGCATTGCCTTCTGGTTTGGAATTTAAATTGTTACTATCTTAATCAAATTTTTTAATAATTTAATAATATTATAGGATACCGGGAAAAGATATTAACTCCAGAAATGTTGCAAAAAAAAGCTATTAAATCACAAAAAAGAAAACAACAAGCAGACGAAAAAAGGGAAAAAGATAAAAAACGTACCATGGAAAGATTGTTGAAAAAACATGAAAGCAAATCTAAAATAAATGCTAAAGGCCGAATGGCAAGAAAGACTGTTAATAATATTATTTACATTAGTAAAAATGACGAAGTAAATCTACTATTTCCAGAAGGAGTTGAATTTCCTCTCAAAAAATCTTTAATTAAGTAGGTTTAATTATTGTTTAATTTTCATATCCAATTTTATACTTTTAGTCTAAAACCTGTTATGTTCAACCCTGTGATTTTTCAGACTATATTTTTTGTTTAAATACATACTATTATTTTATTTATTATGCAGTAAAGATATTTATAAATTTTATATTTGTTTAACTAACACTATTGTTTTTTGTTAAATAGACCTCCACCTGCTCAACAAATGTGTGGGGTAGATGGCTGTGAAAATCCTAAGAAATATTCATGTTCTCGAACTGGTTTACCATTATGTAGCCTACAATGTTACAATGAAAATCAATTAAATATTTGGAACACTGTATGCTGATTAAGCATCTTTCATATTTTATGGTATATACGATATTTATTTGCATGAAAAATACATTGATATGCTTATTAACTATTTAACAATTGAATACATCCGAATAAAAACATAACATATAATTTCAGTGATGTATAAAATACAATTATTATTATATATTAATATTTCCAACAGATGGTCTGGTTGGTGGTATCAATTTTCTTAATTCGGAGTCAATTTTGCGGTCAACCAACACTTTGATCACAAATTCACCTTGTTGAAATGGTTTGAAGGTAGCTGGTACTATAACATAGCTATTTAAAGTAGACACTACAAATGTTTCTGAGATCACTTGTTTTGCCTTGAATTTTCCTGAACTACCTTCTGGTTCAGTACACAAAAAAAACTCAGCTCCTAATGTTTCTTTTTGTTCAAAATCATTCTAAAAAATATGTGTGTAATATGATAATTTCAAAATTTAATAATAATAATTAATTACTACTAAATAATAAATATCAGTTGAATTTACTTTGAATAAAAAAAATGCAACGTGTAATGGATTTTTTTTGTGTAGTCGTTTTATTTTTAATATTATTTTAATTGTAACAAACAAATTTTCTTCTAAAATTCCTGCAAATTAATAATATAAATACATGTAAAATATTTTTATCATAATAATAATATATACAGTAAAATACTAAAATAGTACCTGTAGGAAATTTGAGCAAATATTGAGGATTAATTTCAAACATGTCTAAATTATTCCTTGATCCACCTGCATTTAGGCCATATATCCAACTACCGTGTATTGTTAGTACTTCTGGAAATCCCTAAAAATAAAATAGGAATATTTATGTTATTTTAAATAATTGTAGTGTTATACGTATATTAAAATTGAAATAAAAATTTTTTGTTTGTATACTTGAGAACTGTTGTAGTCATCATATATAGATATTTTATTGTTTTGTTCTTCACAAATATCCACTTGTTCAACCTAATAACATTTATAACTAATTGTTAATATCAATTATTATATTTAAATTAGATATATTTATTTTAAAAAATAGGAAAATAATTCTTTTTTAAAAGGTAAATATAAATTGATTTATTCAAATACATTACAGGCTAATGTAATTATTCTTGATTTCTTTGAGACCTGAATGTATAAATAACTCTAAGCGGTATGGTGATTTTCTTATGTAATTATGTTATTGATGTTTCACAATCACAGAATAAATTAAACACAATGCCTATTACTATCATATGAAATTAATAATTTAGACCCAGCATGATCTGGGAATAAAAATTGGCCCTGAAAAAACAAAAAATTTGGCTCAAATGTTGGGCTGATAATAAGAACTCCAAAAATAGTTTCTTTGGTTTAACCCTACTTGGTATTTTTTCTCTTTTTTTTCTTAGTTAAGGTACGCATACATATTATTTTCATTAAATTGACTCAAATTTATTCTAGCAGCCCAAATTTTCACTGACAAAGCTGGGGGTTGCCTGTTACTACTAGCTTTGATATTTTTTCTGTAACTTGAAACAACCCATTTCATGAAAAATTTAATCTAAGTTAAAAAACAAACTGCCATGTTTAAATAATTGAAGTAGTGCATAACAATAAATAATTTTGCCTCATAGTATTTAAGCTTGTTTTTCAATCTACTTAAAATCTTTCCATCATAATATTTATATTCTTTTTTCATCAGGTATATAAATTTAACTTAAAAATACTACCAAATCACCTGCTGAACTTGCACTATGATTAACTCAAAATCAGGTAATAACTTATGACTACCAAGACCAAAGTATATTAATACTCCTTTCCACCTCGGTTACTATAATATTTCATATAGATTTTTACTTTTTTAATAAAAATGTACATACAGAAATTATTTTTATTAGATATTTTAGAATTAGATTTTATCAAACCTTTATTTACTGTCTCTGCTTACTAGCGTATAACATGAAAATTAAATGTCTTATATATTATATATAACATATTATTAAATTTAAAGGCAATGTTACTTATATAATTTGTAATAATTTTTTTTAAATATTTTAATTTTAAAACGAGATAAGCATTTTACAAAAAAAAATACAATTATAATTTATTAGGTAGATACCTACATGATACAATTAATTATTAGATATTACTAAGTATATACAAAAAAAACATAATACCGTTCATTTTAAATAGTAATAACTAATAGTATTTATAATAGGTAATGATAATGTATATAATATATATACGACACGTCAAAATGAGGGAGGGCTAAAGCTCCTTATCTCCCCAGGAAGAAACTCTTCCAAACATATTACTTTTAATTGTAAGTTTAAAGTTTCTTTTTATTATTATTATTTATTAGAAATAAACAATCTATACAGTTAATGCACAATAAGTTTATTGTTTATATGTAGTAAGAGAATACAGAACGTGAGGTGTTGAATAAAAAGCCACCTACTAATGACACTTAGCACGATTAATTGATTATGATTATGCATTACATATTTATTTTTAATTTTTTTTTGTACGATGCCACTAGTACATTCAGACGTCTTATTATTTTGGGATATTTGAATGCGATGGTTAATACAGATCCACTTGTCAATCTTCAGCACTTAAAAATAAAATTATACATTTAAATATTTAATTGATAAAGTTGACGAAATATCATACTCTAAAAATAATGTTTAATCATTTCACACTTATTTTATTATTTCCGGTGGTAATAAATGAACATTTCATTAAACACAAATTATGCGTAAATCGACGAAGTGCTTAGCTTTTGTATAAAAAAGTAAATTTATTTTTAAAAAAGCAGGAAAGTGGATGTCGCTCTACTGTACAGTGGCCAGTAGGTTACAAGTGGGTTACTTTAATGGAGGGAATTAAATTTGAATCCAATGATAATATATCATTGTATACGAAAAACGATTCTGAGCGGAAACGGTTTATCTGTCTTGGAAGTATTATAGATTATAAAAAATTTTCAAATCATAGATTTAAAAAGAAAAACTTTATGAATTTCTAGCATAAAATAATTTGCGGATTTTCGTGTTTTTTACGTATGTTGTCAAAATTAAAATTTGAATGCTTGTAAAAAAAAATTGTGACTATGTATTTCTTTTATTTTTCAACTGCTATTGTAAAAATATTTTAGGAGCCTTATATTAAATTTTCAAATCTTAGATATAAAAGGAACATTTTTTTTTGAATTTCTAACTAAGATAATTTGAACATTGCCGTAATTTTTACGTATTTATAGTCAAAATTTGAATTTTWAATGCTTATAAAAAAAAATCGTGTCTATGTATTTTTAATATTTTTCAACTGCTATTGTTACAATGTGTTAGAAGCCTCATATTACATTTTCAAGCTTTTCTACCCAACAAATACATTTTTATCGATATTAATTTAAAAAAAACTAATAATGATCGAAAATTGCATGGTGGATAGAATATACTTATATAAACATTCGGTGAAAATTCATGTTTATATGGTTATTATTTTTAAAGTTACATCAAAAACCAAAATTGATTTTGTCGAAAATTGATTGTGCGAAAAATTTTCGTTTTTCCTTTAATTTTTAGTTTGTTTATCCCGATTATTAAGAAAAATATTAAGAATTTTTTACTTTTGACCCCCTCCCCCCCCAAATTACCAACTAGATTCACTTTCTGATCGAACGACGTACTGAAGTCAAAAATCGAAGCATTTTTACTGCCCCAAAACGTGATGATAGACACAAAAAAAAAAAATAAATAAAAACACACACCATGGTAAAATTCAACGAAATAAATAGAAAATAATATAGTGTTTTCCTTGATCATCGTATAGGTGCCTAATATTTGTTTAATTAGATTTCATAGGCAGACATTTGATTGAATTTAAAGAGGGAAAGAATAATCCAATAATCCTAAAAGTATTTATGTTTTTTTTTTTTTTTTTTTGAGAAGGGGGAGGAGGAGGTGTTATTGAAACCTCAGGAGATTAAGCCCCCAGGATGTACGTCTATAGCCGAATATCTAATTAACATCCCCGATTAACGTGTATTTTTAGTTATACTTAATTTTAGTTGGTAAATAATTGAATGCTTAATCAATAAAAAGTGTTTTGTTAAAAAAAAATGTTATGAAAGATTGCTTCCATATCAAATAATGTCATCTACCCTTGACATCAATAACGACAATAACGGACTACCGCTATTAGAATAATAATTTAATAAAAGTTGGTAAAAAAATGAAATATTGTTTTACCTAAGCATTAAGTGGTGAATACCTATGCAGTGTTGGGTAACGAAAATTACTGTAACGCAATTACTTTTTTAAAGTAATTTCTATGAAGTTATGCACAATCGCGTTATTTATTATTATATTAGTTTTGTTTTTGTATGTGTTAACATAGACTATAAATTTATAAATAGTATTTATAATCAATGGTATTACTAAAACAAGCCGTTGATGTATTCCAGAAAAATTAAAAATAGATTTTATTTATTTTTGATTCCGATAACGGCGATAACAGTTATTTTGATCAAAGACTTTCTGTTGCTTATAATATTACTAAGTGTATYAATTTATGAAATTAATGCAATTTTATTTAGTTATTTATTTTACTATTCGGCATTAATTGGTACTTTTTTTGCGTTTTTTTATTTATTTTATTTTATAAGACATTCCTAACCAACATTTATCTATCTATATCTAGAGATAGTATTTACACTATAATGATTAGGAAAAAAACAGATAATTAGATTAATTAATAATTAATGTTGTACATAATGTGTGTCATGCATGGAGTAGTGAAAAATTTGGGTGGCTTAGCTTGAATGTTTGTTTATGCAATTAGGTCGTGCGGTCCGGCGGTCGTCAATGTCACAGGCGGTGGTACTAGAAGAGGTATAATTAATTTTTGCCTAAAATGTCATTGTTTGTATAAAATATAATAATATACTTTAAAAAATTCAAGTAGGTATCCACGAATAAAACTTTTAAATYACAAGAAAATAACTAAAATCGTTATTCTTTATTTAAATGTCCAATTTCATCCAAATTTGAAGTTAAAATGTCAATGAAAAAAATTAGCGAAATATGAAATATTTATGAAAATCATTATTTTAAATTTTTAATCCTTATAGCTAATAATTGTTATAGCTTATGGATGAACAATTTTATTTGCTATCTATTATCTATATCGGGTGACGTGTATAATACCATATATTTGATATCACGATTCACTAGGTATATTAAAAATTCTTAAACAATTAAAACTTAAATGTTTTTGTCATTTTGGATTTGTMCTAAATAYATTTATATACATATATTTAAAATTTGTTTTAAAAATAGCTTATAGTTTCATTGAAAGTATCAACAATTAGATTTATCCAAAACAATTTTAAAAATGCATTTCATTCAATCAAAATTGTTTACTGGTAATATTAATTTTAAAAATAGTATTTAGGTCTGTTGAGCTTTCACTGAGCTAATTA